GGGGGGGATCCTTTTAAATTTTTTTTTTTTTTTTATTATTTATTTTTGGGCATTTTTCCCTGGTTTTGGTCGATTTGTCCATCGCTCCTACTGCTGGAGGCTTATTCACCATTTTAAACACAGACCTACGGTTTAAAGACTTGACCCAAAGTGTGTTAGGTATAAACTGGACTTTTTTTTTTTTTTTCCTCCATGCTTGGGTTTTGTTCAGTTTTTGTTCTGTCCTGGCTTATGCCGGAGAAAGTTGAGAGAGCTCAGATCTGGTGGGGGTTCACTGTTCTCCAGTAACTCAGGAGTCTACGGCAGTTAGTTGTAAAATAAGGCTTATTTAAGCTGTCATTTTTTCTTTTTACCTGCTAGCCTTTAACTCTCTCAGTGAGTTAGGTGTATCAGTCCTCCCAAGGTAGCAAAGGTGACAGCTCTGTTATAAAGTCAAATCTTTCTGGCTTCATGTGAAGGGGGAGAGAGATGCCATTTGGGAATGCTGTTCTGTTTAGAGTCTGCTTTGTACAGCCATTGATTACAGATGTGTGCACATGCTGTTGTGTCGTGGAGAATTAAGTATACAGTTTGAAGTCTGTTTCTCTAAAATACCTATTAAAATAAAATTCAGCTAAATCCAGTTAGTGCTTTAGGTAAAATACTTGCAACTGGGGTTTAGAAGCGATTCTAATGCCAATGTAATTTATTTATGGATTTTAGTAAGTCTTTGGGTGTGAACAGGATGGTTCTGTGAACTGTTTTCGCTAGCCTCTGTTTTGATACGCAGTAGTTCCCCTTCTTCTGTGGGGGATCATTATTTTCAAACTTTTAAGTGTAATGTAAATAAATCTTGGTGAAAATAACCGAGAATATACTTGTTTTGGAACTTCTGCCCTATATGCGCTTAAGTTTTGCGGTACATCTTATATTTAATAAATCCTGTTATCAGAATGTGCAGGATCAAAGCTTTTTGTAAATCAAAGTTAGGTAAGAGGGTGTTGATAAGGTGTTGTGTTTCTTTCTGAGCCTATATTAATACTTGATAGTTTGATCTGGCTAATACGGTTCTTGTGTAGAATACTGTGTGCTACTGTGCAGCTGAGCTAGCTACTTCGAGCTGTTAAGTCATATAATCCTGTAAGGTTACATGTTGACTAATAAAACATAATATAAATGTCCTGAAGTGGATTGTACAGGAGTTATTTCTTCCTTTTCTTCCTCAGCCTCTTTTTTTTTTTTTTTTTTTTTTTTAAATTCTCCCTCCATTTTTATATTAATTCAGTGTTGGTGAGAGGTCTGGGGTTTTGGT